TAGAGCAACTTGAGGAATAACCCGAGTTAGATACTATCTATGAGCGCTAACATTTATATTTAAATGTATTAAGCTTTTACCAACTTTAGTTAAAGTGCTTGATAACTTTAACTAACGGATAGCGCAAAAATTGGGTTTTACCACCATATTTATCTTGTTGATAGCGTTAACAGGTAGATATTCTCGGTCGATTCTTACCTACCGGTTTGGACTTCGGTATAAAAATTTACCTATCGGATAAACTTGGTTTAGTCATTTGTAACTAGATGCTGTATCATTTAAGTCTAATCTAAAATCATAAAAAAAAACCTCAAAATTCCATAATAGTGATTAACACGGTGCTATTGTCGTCTTATAACTGTGTAACACAGCGATTGAATTAAAAAACTATTACGATAATGGATTTCGAACGGATTGAAATTGATGAGAAAGAAGTCTTTGAGGAAATTAATGATCTATTTTATCATTAATTCATCGGAATGTTTTGAAAGGAATGTGTTCACCCACAAATTAATAATGACATCAAACCACGAACGGAGAGGTATTATATATAGTAGTCTTTATCAGTAGAAGAATTAATAATCAATTTTTTTTGGAAGTTTGGCAATCCCAGCTTCAAATAGATTGTTGCTCACTTTAAGATTTTTGCAATGGGCAATATTATGTTATTGGCTGTAGCTGACTTTTGTGGAATCAGCGAATCGTTTGCTTCAGTCATAATAAAATTAGTATCAGTAGCTATTGCCATTTTAAGACCCAACTATTTAAAGATGCCTAGTAATGCTGATGAAGTTAGAAGAAATCAGGTGGAATTTTACGAAATTGTATGGTTTTCACAAGTAATTGGTGTTATTAACTGTACTTATATTAGAATTCAATCACCAGATGATGTTATAGACACGATTTTTTGGCGGCTTAAAATTTTGAGTTTAGAAATACGAGTGGCAATAGATAGGTAAGCATTAATTTCCGAAAGTATGCATCATCACTTACTAGGTTTGCATTTATTAGGATACAACCAATCATTGTTGCTACAGCCATTTGGCATAACATGTGTATCAATATGATTGACGTTTTACCACCTGAAGACGATATACCGTTTGAAGACATCCAGGATGATGTCCAACGAAATGCTGAAGACATAGAGGTCAACAACAAAAGATTAGATTAATAATCAATTATTTTCGCAATTTATAAAAATAAACTTTATTACTATCAACGATATTGATACATATACAATAAAAAACGCTATTTATACTGCACCATATAGACAGATAAATTTGTGACAGATACATAGTAGGTTAGTTACTATTTTGACTGTACCTTTAGTTTCTCTTGTTGTTCGCAAAACGTTGGCTTTGTGTTTCCGCAAATTTTTTGAAGTCCATGTGCTCCACATATTTTCATGTTCTTCTATACCATTAAGTACTGGTGTACCAACAGATGAGGTAGGTCCTCCCTCTGACTGCAATTCTGCTTCCACACATACTTCTAACGGAGCCCATTCCAAGGAACTACCTATTGTTAGGAGTTTCTCGGACTGAGGCAGTGATCCATTGTCGCCATTTAACGCCAACGATGTCATTGCTGGAGAAGTATGTGCGGAATCTGAATTACATACACAGGGTATACACTAGATACTTAACTGAATTAATCCTACAAGGTACACAAATTTATTTAGAATTAATTGTACATTATCGGCAATATAAGTCCACCTCTAGAACCCATTGCGCTTGGCGTATATTTGCTGACCGTGCGATTTTTTAAGCTATCATATTTCATTTTTAATGCTTTAGTATCCCGCGAAACATCCGTGGTAGCTGTTATCTCTCTTTCTATTATTTCCCATGTCTATTACACATAAGATATTATATTGTTTTGTAGTGTTTGCTAATATAAATCTTACCTTTTGTTTTTTTCCACGTAGTAACGTCGCTATTGTCGCCAAGTCCACTAAAACTGTAATTTTTTCAGGCTTAAAATTTGCCCCCGAATGCGCTTTTTGGCCTGATTTGCGGTTAACTTTACCGCAACTAATCGCCGCTAACTAATCGCTGACAGATTTGTGGACCTCTTTTACACGTCGTCACCAACAGTCATTACAACATTCCCCTAGATTTTTACCTTAACCACCAAATAGCCTTATATAGAATAAGTTTTAGAGTTAACTTCAAAATAAACGTTGTCTGATAGTTAGACTGTCGACCAGTTTAACTAGAGGTGGTAAAGGCAGGCCTAAATAGATAATATTAATAGTATGACTTAAAAATATTTTGTTCGTTATATCCGAAGTCCATTCGAACAAGGTCCATTATATCGAGATTTTACTGTACTTATGTACATAATTTTACATTTCTTTCTATTAGATTATTTACTCAAATATTGATATACTGGTATATTGTACATAAAAGAAATTAATATGATATCGTAAAAATACTTAATAAACTATGCTCATATATACCAAATACTGTTCATTGTAATAAGAAGAATTTTAGTACTGCATTAAGTCAAGATGTTACCTCGAATGCCCTTTAAGCATATACACTCGTGTAGCAATTTACATAACGACGTTATTTGATACGTATAGAGGCAAAGGGACATTATGAAGATCTTGTCACCAGATAAATCAACTAATGAGATGCCCGCAGCGTTCTGGACTTAATGAATCGAAATCAATGAATGAATTAAGCACACGCACGGTAAGAACACAATGCCCCGTAGGAATTCGCGAGTATATATTCCGGGAACGAGTCGCGATGAGACGCGTGAAGTGTTGTTAGTTGGATGGTCGGTGTAGCGGGAAAAAAGGAATACCAAAATGCCACAGCACGCGCCAACGCGTATATATATATCGACGCTAACACCTTTATTGGTATCTTGAACTAGATCATCATTGCTAATTCGCAATTTAGAAAAAGTCGCACCGGTACAAATATGGTCGTGTCGGGCACAGCTTAATGGATCATCTGCCGATATTTAGCCACCAGGAAATAACTCGTTCCTTTCTTTGTCCATACCGCACATACTGTGTAGTTCTCGACGTCCCACCGTGTACGTGACGTTAGCCGCACGTTAGATAACGTGACGATATTGTTCCTGCTTCCACTAAGCGGAATTCTAAGAGTAGGTATTTATCGGTGGTGGTGCCGATGTTTTGGTGACGAGAAAGTCGGATTTGCAAAAGCCTCTTCTTACCATCTGTGTGTGGCGGTATATCTATGCTCTCGTCAAACGGGCTAACATCTCTTTAGGCTACTGTTGACGCACCGGCCGATCTCGGGAGTAATAGCTCAATGGAGCTATCGTTGGCGGAAGACGAGTTTCGGTATGTAGCTATAGTTATGTTGAGCTGTCGCGTCGCTAAGACGGATGGCGGAATAAATCTCTGCTTTCTTCTGCACTGGTATCACGTCCGTAACGGTGTACGGGTAGCCTTTTGATTCCCTCTTCGGTACCAAAGCCGGATCGGCCGTAGAAAATTCCGCGAAGGCAATAAATGTATTAATGGGCGCTCGAAATGCACAACGTGCAACCGTCAACATCTATAAACTTTTCTGTGGCGAACCCATATCCATCGGAACCAAATCCATATTTCTTTATGTTAAATCGTTAGGCCGATGTACCGCCAAGATAGTAACTTAAAGATAACAGTGCGTGTTTATGCGAATACAACCAATGGGTTCGATCAAATCAAAGTTCACGCATTCCGTTAAGAGACTACTAGCATTACACGCACGCACGTCCATCTGCGCCGGCAGAGAATGGAAAAAAAGTCGGCACTGCGCGATCTTCAAGATAAACTTGCTTTATTGACGCGCACGGTCGATAAAAATAACTGTTAGTGGACGGGTATGCAAATATTTACACGGATTTCAACGGATCCGCGCTCATTTGTAGTACGCCTGTGCGTTTAGGCGACGTCGTGCTGAGCCGTATTAGGCACTTGCGAAAACTACCTTATCCGGTGAGCGGGGCAGGCATCGTTGTCGCAACCAAAGGACTTTTCGCATGAATGACTAAATAAACTTTGGGTGAGGAATCGAGGATAAGATATTCAAACTTAACTTTAGCTTTCTTTCCTTTCTCTGCAACGTTTTTTGGAACATTTTCAGGTTGAATGAAATAGAGAAAGAGTCTTTATTTACTAGTATTAAAGGTTTCTTAGTGATCCTCTCTTCAAAACGGTACGTTCTTGGGAAAAAAGTGGTTTTGTTGTTCCAAGTGATCAAGTAAGGACAGTAAAGTAGGTCCGGAACCAGTAGCATCGAGTCGAAAGTACGCCAGCCGAGATTTCTTGTATTTGTTCCCATGTCAGTATTCTAGTTTAAGTGCCTAGCCTCGGTCACTTTTCAATCCCACAGCGCCTAATGGAGAGCCGGCGGTCTTAATGAATAAGTCATCCGAGATCGCCGCATGTAGAAAATGCACGGCTCCGTGTCATCATATAAATTACACGAACACTATTGTACAATTTCTTTCCCGGGCGGCTCGTATTAGAAAGTGATTGATACCGTGAGAGTCCTAGCGGATAAGGCCTCGGAACTCGCGAGCTTGGCGGTGATAAATGAGATATCAGTTTGTGCCGATGTGATTCCTACGTTTTTTTACCAACACCTGCCGAGCACTTGTACTCGAACAATAATTAATTATTTAGGAATACGCGCAGTGGACGACGTGCGGTATTAACCTATGACACCATGGTATCTAGGACGGTTTCAGCACTTCGCGCACCATTCAAAACTCTCAAGATGTAAATTATAACGATACATCACAACGGCGTGCATAGAATACTTGACGCCATTTTCAATACCGCATTAACTTGAATTTATGTATTGCAATAAAAGAGATATTGTCGTGGAGAGATAGTTAAACGTAACTGTTGTTCTAACAAGGAGTAAGTGATGGGTAATCATTATTTTCTGGACGATTTCTATCGAACAATACTCTCTAAGTATGTCGATTCTCAGAGCTATTTCTGTTTATTTTCAACCTGCTTGTTACCTACATACAATTTAATTTCGTAATAAGTATGTTTACAAATATTTTACAACGTATTCGTAATTTTGTTTATGGTTCATCTTCTCTAATATGTTTAAACAAACATCTTTGTGAACGCATCGAGATAGTTTATCCATTCTTATTAATCCTTTTTTACAAAAACAACCTCTATAGCATTTACGTGCACAATGCGGTTTAATTTTATTACATCTCTGGGGACAACTACCACACCTTTTATATGTTTCATCTTGTGGACAATCTACAAAAATAATAAACAATTCTTTATATGACAACTATATCAAGGAAATCTACCTGTGGAATCTATATATTTTGGTACAATCGTAATGTTTCTCCTTGTTACAGTTTGAAGGTCAAATGAAGAATTAGTCATCACCAACATATCTGTAATATAATAATATAAATAGTATTCACATGAGATAACAAAAATTAACGTTACCAAACAGTGTTCTTGTTTCGTTTATTACTATGTTAGGAATAGATACTGATTTAGTTGAAAGTGTCTCTGTAGTAATACACGTAAATAAAATCACCAATCGTAACATAACTGCGTAGATTAACATGTTAAATCTAATATTTAATGTTCTACCGTCGCCGTACTTTAAGGAAATGGGTTATTGTGTATTGTAGGCACGTTATCAACATCATCAAACGCTATGGTATGCTGTAATAGCATTTTTTAGAACATTAATGGCACAATAAATCGTAACGAGATAAACATGGACGTAACACAGGCGTTTCTTAATCAACCGGGTACGTTCGCGCGTAAACAAATTTAGTTTTTGCATAGATTCCCGACGTATAGAGAATCTCATCTACAGTTAGTTGGCTCCAAAGAAAAGCCATTTCTGACTTATTATAATATCCTTAGCGGACACTAAAGGATTTCATTTAGGAATTCCTTTCCGCAATCTTTATTTTTAAACAAGCGTATGTACCAAAGTATTTACTTCAACTGAACATTACCGTTGCGTTGATACATCGGAACGTGCGATAAACCAAGAACTAATTGACACTGTTAGATGTCAAATTAACTCCGGAATTTTAACACAAGAATAAAATTCTCTTTATGACATTAAAAAATGTTGGCTAGACTTGGTACGGTTATTTGACGGGTTGTTTTTATGTAGTACACGTTTACCACGATTGTATTTTAAAAGAAATCGTCTCCAGAGCCGGTCCTATTCTATATCCGGCGTCGGAAATCACGGTATATCCCCACGTTGGTAGCAAAAGAATTAGAATTGTATGTCCGAGTGGTCAACTCCGGCACGCGGATCGTTAAGGTCGCTAAAAATGTCCAGCAATGCTCATCGGGTCTAGTTAACCACGAAAATTCCATTACCCCATGGAAGTCGTCACCAAACAGGGCCTAATCGCCGGCACGGCATCGTTACGGGCAATGAGTGAAAATGGCACAATTCCATAAAATCACATCCGAACTGGAAACGGGCTCGCTTCTGGGAGGCAGACGACAACCGATACGCCACTAGAATTATAACATAAAAGCCAAGACCTGAATGGAAGGTTGTTCACTTAATCTGTCCTACTTAAAGACCTTAAAGAAATCTTAAAAAAAGACATAAATATACATGAATAAGTAAAGAACAATACTATTTTTTTTTTCATATTTACACAAAAGACGTGTTAGAACCTGATCCTGTATTTGGTTATTTCCTTACACAAAAATATCCTACCTAGATTTTGTTTAACTTTTGTTATTTTATTTAATATATTTAGATTATGTACATTCCACAACAAATTTCGTATATAATCTAAACAACCGTGTACGAAGAGTTGCAAAATAATTTAGGTATATCATATTAAATTATATTTGAACTTACTCTTTGAGGTGGTTCGCTATTCTTTTCGCTATCAGCAAAAAGACTCTTATGCAAATGCTGCATTTTGTCGTTTGCTAATTGTCCTATGTATCACCACACCTTACCTTCTTGATTGTTTGAGTATGCGTGCAGTTCTAGGTAAGTAAAATTGATAAAGCCAACAAATAGATTACTTATCTGTCATGGTCTTTTGCTCCTAGTCCTTGTGGACTCAATGGAAACCCGTAAGAATCTAACCTTATGTAATGTATATATTTGGTGCAGATATTATTAAAGAACTTTACTTCTATTTCTAAATTATTCCCGCCCCATATTCAAGGCAGCAAGGCGACATAAGAAAAAACTATTTTATTTGTAACTATTCTAGAACATTATGATGTAAGCTAAAATAAATTAAAAGTCAATACTCAATCGTGTGAAAAACCGTTTCATCCGAATATTTAAATGATTTATTCATAACGAAGACATTTAGCACTCAATTTCAAACTGTCTTAAACTTTTAAATATAGATGGCGAATATGTAGAAATGTTCATAAACAGAAGCCGTTAATTTTATAACACCTCTGATAGTACAGTCATCACAGAATACATAGAAATCGAATTTCCTCATATACAGTTCTGACGTAAGTACGTGACCTAAACTCAAAATTGCCTTAAGAAAATATTACATAGATGGAATCGACAATAATGTAATGTAAAACATTTTGTAGAAATTCTATAAAATAGCGTTTTTTTCCATTAAGCAGAAATGGAAACTTTACTTACACTTTACCAAATAACTCCTTACAAACACGCTAGTAAATATTACGTAAATACAAATTGAAAAGCTTTCCCGATATATTCTAATCGTTTTAACTATGTAATTTGTAAATACAGCCAAAGTCGCTGAAGATGCAACAATATCAATTGCAAAATTGGTAGGACCGATAAAAAATGTAATCCAGCCGAAATGCAAGAAACAACACTTTTGGCATCAATTCTGATTTACTGATAGTATAATATTAAATAAATCACTGCAGAAACTAAGTCCTAAATATTTTTCCGAGTAAATATAACTCATTATCCGTCATTATTTATAGTAACGTCTTAACCTTATTATTTTTAGTGTAACAGAAAATTCCAAACTTCCAGGATAATCTGCTTAATGCAAAAATGTGTACTACCTCGAAGGTAACTGTGCCTCAAGTGACTGCCTTTCGTGTTAACAACTTTGATCCATCGAAGAGTCAGGATCGTCCTTTAAAAATTAGGTTTGATTAATCGAACGTTAGGGAAATATAAGTAATTGGAATGGTGTTAGCGTTTCTGAGGAGAAAATTGCGTTACAAAATGAATTTTATAGGAACGTTAAATTTTAGCTTGGTGATCATCGTCCATCTAGTGAAAAGGATTTGATCACCGAGTCCATTAAGGGTATAACCACCATCATTCCCACGTTGTGGAAATGAAAACTAGTTGTGACACTTGAACTTCCATTCATTTGTGCTTACAATTGATATTATGCTAAATGAGACGTAGACTAATAAAAGTATTGAATATTCGCAAGTATTTTGTAAATAGTTAGTGTAATAATTATTTTGTGGTTGGGAATGGTAGTCATAGTGTTTGCTTATAATAGGCTAGCCCAAGGAAGGTGGATTCGTTAAAGTTTTTTTGTGATGGATCTTATTCCATACAAGCACTTCTTGAACAGCAACTAGAAACTAGATTAAAAAAACTTATATGGCTTAGTGAGCTGCATAACTATCATTCTCCATTGGATGTTCTGGTCAAGTCCTTGTTCTTGTACATAATTATCAAAGTTCTGATCATAGCATGCTATATATGGATATTATGAAAGTCAACGGTTTTTATGTTCGATTGTATTGATGATCGATAGGTCTGTATTACGATATCTCTAATGTATGCGGCCAAAATTTTTACCTTATTAACATCAAGAATGTATTGTTTTAGTTTTTCTTGGTATAATCTCATATCTTCATTCGCAAATTCGCAAAAGATTCTAAAAAAAGCTAAACACTTGTTGATTGTAAATACTCCTAAGGACATATAATATATTGCTCTAAAAATTGATAGACTTCAAAAAATACATGAAGAGCTTTTGCCAGTACCTTCTGCCGAGATTTGTCTAACAAAACAGTATTATTGACTCCTCTTGATTTTGGGTGATAATCGCTTTATCTATTTTTATGTTTACTATGTTGCCAAATTTGTTAAGAAAGTCTGTGCAAATAATAGGTTTAACTACATCTGCTATGGTGAAGCCGTGACAAAAATTTCGTCTTAACTGTAAAGTTAATATAAAAAGTTTTTTACCATAGGTTATTATTGGCGTACCGTTAGCAGTAAAAGTCGAAGTTATGTCTCTTTTGTGATTTTGATAAAATTTGGAAGGAAGTACAGAAATGTTAGCTCCAATATCAACAAGAAAGTTGATAGTGGTAGTAGTAATCATCATAGACGTAAAGACGTGAACTAATATCATTTAATGAAATATTAGATCGTCGATTAAAAGAATTGTTGAAATTTTGAATTCTTTCCATTGCAACTTTATTAGGTTTTTTGAATCCGAAGTTTTGGTGGAATGACTGTTGACCTGAAAGGAGTCGACGAATTTGCAACTATTGCCATCACACTTTTTCGCTTTGTCACCAAATTTAAAGTGAAAACGACAAATTGAATGTCATTGTGGCGAAGAATGTCTAAATGTTAAACGTTGGGGAGAAGGATTTCTCGAAGAAAAAACTGATTTATATATTGATCTGTTCGAGCAATGATTGGATGAAGTTGTTAATTCATTAAATTAAGAATTTAAGGAATTAATATACGTTTATATCTGCAGCTGCCATTGTAATATTTGTTGTGAATTGTTATTTACAGTTGTTGTGTCGGACAACCTCTCAATATCTTAAACCAAGAATATCAAAATATTAAAGGGATTCTTCTTTGAAAAAGTGTGGTGAGAATGTTCTATCTCAGCTTTATGGCTCTGTAAGTCATTTGATTTGTTAAACACCACACTTCGGTGTAAACAAGACATTTATTGCAGAAGTTGTTGATTGGGATATGTCGTATTGTCTCTCTGTGTAACACTATCAATTTTAAAAGTGACTCGGGGCGTACCATGCTTTGTTTTGAATACAAAATTGAGCTTATAATTGGTAACTTTTCTGCATTGGATGATAGGTACAATAACTGAAGGCCCAGATTGAGTGTTTAATTATAGGCAATTATGTCGGTTACACCTGTCAGTGTCTTTGAGATGGGCTTGGGATTGGTGTTGGAAGACAAAATGCGAACACGATAACGTTCAGGTGACGATATAACTCTTGATTTACTGGTGGATTTTCTCTACAAATTAATTTGCCTTAAAGCTTCTATCGATAGGCTATGTTAAATATTAGTTGTGTATTTTTTTATTTGTATGCCATATCGTTCGGCAGCCTCCATTTCCAACGGTCCCCGAAGCTTTATTTCCATTACAAATTAATCGTTAATGGTATCTAGGTCAAATGGAATAGCTCAACGGAGTCTATTTGTTTGGCATTTCTGTTATTTTCTTCTGGATTGATTTATAGTATTTTTCAATTTTATTTGCATTCTGATTTCAAACTACCGATTTTATTTTTTCTACAAACGATATTTTCAGGTACTCAAAACGAAAAGAAATAATATTATTTGCATATTGAGCAACTTTAAAGTTA